CCCCAAAACCCCAAAACCCCAAAACCCCTCAAGTCTCAAGAAGTTCGATATATTTTAGAATATTAAAATATAAAGAGGGATATAATATAGATCTGATTTAATGACAACTGTGGAAGGTGGACCTAAACTCTTAAAGAAATTCCGAAAGTTCTTGAAATCACAAGATGCTTTTGGCCACAAGATTTCTCTAAACTATCAAAATTAACCAACATTCAGAAGCTCAGTTGGAGGATTCATGACAATTGCTTTAAGGCTTTTGCTTTTGGGATATTTTCTATCAAATCTAGTTACGGTTATAAATAGATCTCAAAGCGCTATAGTAAATTCAATTTACAAAAAAGATTTGTCATTTGACGATACCTCTTTCAATCTCACAAAGAATGTATTTGACATGGCATTATTTATATCATACTTTGGAACAGACGATGGAGTGTAAGAGAATATTCATACCTATTTCACTGCTAATTTCTATCAAATCTATTTTGAAGATAATCCATACACTTGGGGTACTGGTAACGATTGGGTATATATGCCAATAGGTCTAGAAATTTGCAAAGAAGGTAGATTTTTAGGCGAAAATAAAACTGCAAAACTCATAAACATTACTGGGAATTATCTGTGTCCAGAAGAAAATTTTAACTTGAAATTGTCTGGTGGTACATCTTCAAAAAGCGCTCATATAATTTACGCAACAGTTGATTACTGTGATCAGGAAATTCTCAATGAATGATATCCAGGTTAGAACTTGATTTGCAAAAGTTAAGAAGAAAGTGAAGCGATCTTACCCTACATGAATGTATTCTTTTCCTACATAACTTAATATTTCGATCACAATAATTATGGCTCTAATCCTATTATTAACAATATTCAGAACTACTACTGGCCTCTAAATAAATAGATAAGCAATAATTAAATGATGAAATATACTTAAAATATAGTAAATACTGCTGATTCTTGGCTAACGAGTAATTTGTTTGGTAATGAATTTGTGTATTATACTGGTAGGCTAGAATATACATAAATAGGAACAAGAGAGTTAGATGCAGGCTGGAGTTTATTCAGTGTCGAGATTGATATGGATGAGGGATATGTAAAAACTGGCAGGACTGTAATGACTATCTTAGATGCATTCTCGATTGTTGGAGGATTGATGGGGATAACTTTCGCTTTCTTTCAGTATTTCATGGAAGCAATACAAGAAAAATTATTCATGTCCTCAATTATTAGCAAAATTTTCTACCAGACTAATCCTGTTGATTAAGAAGAAGGAGTTCATCAACTAAATAGTATAGGGTCAATTATGAATTCTCCAATAGGAAGAATAAAGTTAATGCCTTAAGTTTCTTCAAATTCATTGATACCTCCAGTGAATCAAACTACATTTATATCTGAAAAAGTTCTACATTTTGTAAAGACTTTAAAAGCCTTTAAATACGGATACACTGATTTATTTTGATACAAATTAAGGAAGGTTTGCTGTAAATTTCTTTGTGCATAAAGAAAAATGCCTTAAAAATAATATATTCAAAACAAGTTATACCAAAAAGCTCGTAACACAATTGAAAATGAATTTGATATTGTGAGAGTTATCAAAACTGTGAGAAAGGTTGATCTAATATTCAAGACGATGTTTTCTAAGTATCAATCTTTCTTCATCCCTATCCTTAGAAATAATGTACTTTCAAAGAATGATATCAAATTAAGGGATGCCGATTTTAATATAAAAGAAATCCAAGAAATTAAAAAGATTGATGATAACAAACTGAAGATATTTATCTCATCACTCATAATGTAAAGTGAAAAATCCAAGATCGATAAGAGAATATTGAAAAATTTAAGTGATGAATATCGTTAGAATATTAGTAATAAGAAGCTTGACCTTGAAAAAAATAAGGTAGGAGCTCAACTGAAAAAGAATTTCTTAGGCAACCTAGCATCAAAACTTGATACCAATCTTTCTCTTAAAAAATATAATAAAGAAGATGAGTGGAGCTTTTGAAATAATTATTGCATTATATTGGGGAAATATTAATATTAGGTATTTTAATTTTGAATAAATATATTTTTGCTTAATTTTAAATCATCTTGACATCTGGGGTTTTGGGGTTTTGGGGTTTTGGGG